CTTTAATAGTAATTTAAGAAAAAAAATTCGCTATATCCCTTAAATTTAATATAAAAATTCGTTATACAAAAAAATTCGTTAACAAAAGTCTCATTTTATTATACTTGGTACGGGATCTTCAATTCGTTATGCGTAATAGTAAGATTTATTATAAAAATTCGTTATATTCAATTATTTTATTTAATAAAATTCGGGACCACTCATATAATTCACAATAACAAAAAATTCGGAATATAAAAATTCGTTATAGAGAGATTCAACTGTATTATTTAACGAAAATCATATTATGTAAAATTTATTATTAGATTAAAATAAAAACTAAAAAAAAATTAATATTATTTAACCTATCATTAAGAATTTATTTTATATTCAAAAGGATTTATCCGACAAAGTTTTACTATTGATAATTATGTATGTCTAGCGTTTATGCGTTAAAGAAATGAGTCTTGATCCAAATAGTTTTTCCGGCTATTATTTTATTTAATGTTGGGAGGTTTCTAATACTATACATGTGAAAAAAAAAAACATTCAAAACAGGTTTGCAAATTTTATCAAGTAGTATTATTATTAAATGTCACATCCTGCGATGCCATATTAGGCTTTCAATTTCCAATTTTATTGCTAAATGAGTTCGTTATTTGTTCGTTCATTTATATTAAGAACGAAAAGATATTATATATTGAAGACTTCAGAAAAAAACTTATCCTCTGGCAATAGAACTCAAATTCAGCAGTTTTTTCAAGTTAAATCTTACTTAAGTATGACCGCATTCAATCGAACAGCATTAGAAGAAGTATTAAAGAAACGCTTTTTCTACGCGCCTTCATTCCAAGCCTATGGTGGTAAGGTTATTTCACACTATTATCAATAGGAAATAGTTAGGGTGATATATATATTCTACTTGGGAGATGAAGTAAATATTGAAAAACAGTAATATCACGTTTTTTTTTGATTTAAACTTCACAAGGCGTTGCCGGTCTTTATGACTATGGTCCTCCAGGCTGCGCACTTCAAGCTAATATCATTGATTTATGGCGCAAGCATTTTGTGTTAGAAGAAGAAATGCTTGAAATGGATGGTAGTATTATGACACCAGCGGAAGTATTAAAAACTTCTGGTCACGTTGATAAATTTACTGATTGGATGGTTAAAGACTTAAAGATTGGTGAAATATTTCGAGCTGATCACCTTGTTGAAGCCGTATTAGAAACTAGACTTGACGGTGACAAACAAGCTAGGAAAGCTGAAGCAGAAGGTAGTGTTCAACCAGAGAAAAACAAAAAGGAAAAGAAGAAAGGTAAGATTCAGACGGCGGTGAAATTGGAAGATTCTGTTAAAGCGGATTATGAGGAAATATTAGCAAAGGTGAATGTGGTTTTTAATTTGTGATTAATATAAATATATTGTATTGTCAGAACATATGTCTTATATTAATCACTCTTAGATCGATAATTATTCTGGTATTGAACTTGGTGCAATTATACGTAAACATGGTATAAAAAACCCTGAAACGGGTAATGACCTATCTGATCCCGTAGAATTTAATTTAATGTTCGAGAGTAACATCGGTCCTACTGGGCACCTAAAAGGGTAAAAATTTATCGAAATGTTTAAAAAATATATATAATTATTGAAAAAAAAAAAATCGATTTTTTTTGTTTATAACGTGTTTACAACTTTATGCGAATAGTTATCTTCGACCAGAAACGGCTCAAGGTCAATTTTTAAATTTTAAAAGGTTTCTTGAATTCAACAATGATAAAATGCCTTTCGCCTCGGCCTCGATTGGCCGTTCATTTAGGAACGAAATTAGTCCAAGATCTGGTCTTCTAAGAGTCAGGTCAGTTCATATATTATGATTTCCATGTTAAAGCTTTTTTTATTTAATATTTAAAATTCAAATATTTCAGGGAATTTGTGATGGCTGAAATTGAGCATTACGTGGATCCTAATAATAAGGATCATCCTCGATTTAATGAAATAAAAGATTTAAAACTTCGCTTCCTTCCTCGAGTTATACAGGATGAAGGTAAAACGGAACCTATCGAAATAACTGTCGATGAAGCCGTAAAAAAAGTTAGTTGATTTCAATATTCAATTACTTTAATAACTTTCTACATGTTCTAACACATTTATTCAGAAAATTGTAGACAACCAAACTCTTGGTTATTTCCTAGCTAGAATACAATTATTTTTGACTAAGCTTGGAATTAAATCAGATAGGCTTCGATTTCGTCAACATATGCTTAACGAAATGGCTCATTATGCCTGTGATTGTTGGGATGCAGAAATTCAAAGTAGCTATGTTTGTTATCCTTTTCCCCATTTTTCTTTTCTTTCTTGCAAATTTTTTTTAGTATTAATTTATATCTACAAACTTTTTAAATTATTAGGGATGGATTGAATGTGTCGGTTGTGCCGATAGATCAGCATATGACTTAACGGTTCACTCAAATCGTACTAAAGAAAAACTAATAGTGCGAGAGAGTTTAGCCGAACCGATTGTTTATGAAAAAACTGTCTTGGAAATTAATAAAAAAGTTTTTGGCCCTAAATTAAGGCAACATGCTAAATCTGTGGAAGAATATCTAACTAGCTTAAACGAAGAACAACTCGAGGCTTTGAAAAAATCCTTACAAGATGGAAATGGGTTAAGTTCATACATATGTTATATTATATATTGTAATTTTTTTAATGTATTAATTAATTTTAACACAATCATTTAAGATTTTAGTGGCACGAAAGTTCCTGGTAAAGATGGCAACCAATATGAAATCACGAACGAATACTTATCAATTAACCGTCAAACTTTTACGGAACATGGTAATGAATTCTCTAAATTCGACACGTAAATGGAATTATAACATCTAGTTCTAACTTGTTTTATTAACAAAACTAGTTAGGGAATATACTCCTAACGTAATAGAGCCTTCGTTTGGTATCGGTCGTATTTTATATTCTTTAATTGAACATGTGTATTGGACGCGCGAAGACGACGAACAGAGAGCAGTAAGTCATTCTTTATAATGGAACTTCACTCCTTGATAAAATTGGTGCATTATTTACTATGCGTTTATTTATTATAGGTTCTGTCATTTCCTCCGCGTGTTGCACCTTTTAAATGTTTATTGGTTCCTCTTAGTAACAATCCAGCTTTTACTGACCTTGTTGCCGATCTTTGTAAGATATGATAATAAATCCTATCATTATTTAATTAATATTTTCATATTCTGTATTAATTTAAAATGCAAATGCATTAACTTAAAGCTAAAAGGCTTCGTATGCTAAGTATTGCAATTAAAGTTGATGACTCTTCAAACTCTATTGGACGTCGTTACGCACGTAACGATGAACTTGGAACACCATTCGCAGTTACAATCGATTTCCAATCTGTGAATGATGGCACAGTAACATTACGAGAACGGGATACTACTAAACAAATAAGAGAAAATGTACAGTGTATATATATTTTTTCTGTTTTCCGTAAAATGATAAAATGTTATACTTAAATCTTGTAAATTATTCTATTTAATAGGTCGATACCATACTTCAGGTGCTAAAAGACTTGGTGGAGGAAAATGTCACTTGGGAAAAGGTAATGGAATTATACCCTACCTTTGTGACACAGCAATTAGAATAAGACATTGTCGGCAGTTTAAATCTTAAAGGTTTTTTATGACTATTAGTCATTTTGATCTTATTTTTTTATGATCCTTTTATTATAGCTAATTTTATAATAATAAAAAATTTGGTTTTAACTATTATCTAAATATTTTTTATTATAATTCATTTATAAAATATTGGAGATTCTAATTTTCGTAAAAAAAGTTATTTTACATCTTAATTTGATTAATAATTTCAATTTTTATCACCTAGAAATTAAGCCAATTTTCAATAATTATATTTTCACTGATTTTACTAATTTAATTAAATAATATTATTTTAAAATTTCTTCTTTATCATTAATTTTTTTATAAAATAAAATATATTATATACTTCTAATCTATTACATTTCATTAATAAAGAAACCCTATTATTAAAAATAATCTTATAAAATAAGCATTATTAATACTAATATATTTGCAAATTTTTATATACATTATATGTAATAAATTATTTAAATTGATCAATAAATTAAATAATTTTTTTAAAAAATCTTTTAAATTTAATATGCTAATTAGTATAATAATAAATAAGCTATTTTATAAAGTTTAAATGTAATACCTATTTTTAATTATTAGCATAAAATTTAAAATAAAAAAATTTTTTTTATAGTTTCTTTTCTTTTTACTATAAAATATTTATATAGATATTTTATAATAAAAAGGAAAAATTACTAAAAAATTTTTTTGAATTAATATTAAATCTGAATTTATTTTACTAAAAAAAATAATATTTAATTTATAAAATAAATTTTTGATAATTTTCTTACCTTTCTAATACAAAATACCTATATTATTAAAAAGTTAAAAAGTAAAATTTATTTATTAAATTTAATAAGTAAAATAATTGTTATATTTTATTATATTATAATTATTGATAAATTTTGAATATATAATTAATATTATTAGTAATCAATCATAATTATTTATAATATTTATTATAATAATATATTTTGTAATAACTAATTTTATTAGATCTTTAAAAGTAAACTTTAAAATTCTCTTTCTTTTTTTTAAAAAATTTTATAAACTAATATATTTATTTTTATTTATAATAAAACATTTAAATTTTTAGTTTATTAATTATATGATGCATTTCATCTATACTCAAAATTAAAATTATGTGACAAAAAATTGTAACAAAATTTAATTTAAATAATATTGAGAAAAAACTAAACTGATAAAATAAAACTTCAAAACTTAATCTACAAATCTATCAGTTTAATTTTTTAATTTTATTATAAAAGTCTGGAGGCATTAGCATTTTAAATTGAAGCATTTAAATAGAAAATATAGCAATTTCAGACTTTCTGATTTTTACGATTTGCACATATTACAGCGAATTTTTATTAATTACATAGCTATACAATAGTCACAAACTTTTAGCGATGCTTCTCATTTCTAAAAAATGTCATGTTTACAAAAATCAGTTATGTAATACAAATGAAAGGTTTGGGACATTAAATGAACTTAAATCAGTTCTATATGACTATATCCAATATGAAATTGATGAATAAGGAGATGAAGAGGATAGTGGTTGAGAAGACAAAGTGAATTTACATGAAAAAATGATATTAAAGTTAGTTTGAAAAGACATTATAGTTTTAAAAAAATGAAAACATAGTCTTTATCTTATTGGACTAATGAAAAAATCAACATATTATAATAAGTGAAGTCTAAGTGATACATATACTAATGCAGCAAAAAAATACAAAAAGTATAATTGAATACTTTTCTTCTACAATTGATTGTGATAATATTTTATCTTCAGATGAAAATAATGATGTTTTAAGTAATATAAATAATAAGGATAGTTGGACACTTGAGGATACTTTACAAAAAATAGAAATATTAAAAATCGAACTAGAAAAATTACACAAAAAATTATCAGTAATTGAATATAACAAGAAAAAAGTAATATTTTAATATCTTTAAAGGTTATATAAGAATGGAAAGGGAAAGATAGTTGCAAATATAAAAGTGGTTAAATTAGTTTTTATTGATGCTAATCCTTATAAAGAAATAAAAATTCGTAAATAGATAATATTTTAGTTAAAAAATAGTCATCTTTCTCCTGTTTATCATAAAAAACTGTGCATTTAATTGATAATGAAGATACAGCTAATAGGTATAAGACTTGGATTCGATCATAAGGTGGTAGTGTTACTCTTAAACTTTTAAAGATTTCATTAAAGGAACACTTTTAGTTAAAGCAAAAATTTTTTAAAAAAAAAATTTCAATTGCAACTGCTACCTGATGGCTAAATGTTCTTAGATTTTTTATCAACAACATCACCAATGATGGATATAAGTATAAGAATATAGTTGTTTATCAAAAAAATTTACTTAAAACAATTTCTTATTATGAAACTTTTATGACAAAATATAATGGTAATGATATAGAATGTATTTCTTCTAAATTAAAGGATGGTAAAAAAGAATACATTTTGGTCATCCATAATGAATGCATTTTTTATACTAATAATGGTAAAAGAGGAATTTGAGCTCTAAATGGAGAATTATCACTATGAAAAAAAGGTAATAGAAGATCTATTATGATAAGCGAATTTCTATTTGAAGCCTGTAAATATTGTTGTTAAGCCAAAAAGATATTATAAAACATCTAACTATACCAGAAAAAGCATATGTTTTTTTAATACTGGTAAAAATCAAGAAGGTATTAAATAGTTTAACATTTAATTGAACAAGTAGAATATAAGGCAATCCCAATTTTTAAAACTTTATTTCTAAACTGCCTAACAGTTTTTGCTTTTGATAATAGCTCAAACTATTCAGCATATTGTTCTGATATATTATTGGTCAATAGAATGAACCTTTGTTCTGGTGAAAAGCAAAATAAAATGTGAAGTACAGTATGGGGGAATAATCAACATCAGAATATGATTTTTCCTGATGATTATCATATATTAGAACTTCAAGAAAAACCTAAGGTATGGAATAGGTTCTTCGTAAAAAAGGATTATAGGATAAAAAATATGTAGCAGATTGTAGCTTATGTAAAGATAAAGCTACACAAAATAATCCAACCTAAACTAAGTATTGTGCAAGATGTATAATATCATTATAGCCTAATTTCCTTACATAAAAATGTACACTTCAAGAATTAATTGAAGAAGCTAATCATGTGTGTATTTTTTATCTAAAATTTTATTGCGAATTGAATTTTATTGAATGATATTGAGAGGTATCAAAGCGTTATGCTCAAGAAAATTGTGATTATTCTTGGACAGGATTACAACAGATAATTCCTATTAGTTTAGAATCTATATAATTTGAAAATTTGCTTAACATGCATAACGTTATATAAATTTATATAAAAAAGAATAACAGGCTGAGTATTGTGTAAAGAAATATAAATCTCATAAACAAATTCCTGATTATTTAATTAAAGAGTTAAATAAAATTACTTTATAAATTTAAGCTGAAATAAATTTATTTAGCATTATTAATAAATATTAAATTTTTTAATATATAAACTTGATCATATAAATTGAATTTTATTAGTTAATAATCACATATTTATCACGTATTTTATCACATAATTAGTTATATAATGAAAAAAAATTTTAGACTAGTTTTGAGTATAAATGAAATACATCATACTTTTAATAAACTTTTAATACTGTTAAATAGCTTCTATAATTAATAATAATTAAAATTAATAATTAATAATAATAATAAAATAAATAAGTATCAATATGATAAAATATATTACTTTAATACAATTTATAAAAAAAAGAGCTTAATTTATTTAAGAAATTATTATTAATAATAAAAAAATAAATTAAATTAAAATTAAAATAATAATTAATTTTATTAAAAAGTAAAAGTAAACTTTTAATAAAAATAATTAATAATTTTTATATAAATAATTAATTTAATATTATTTTTTATTTTAAATTTTTACTAAAAAATATATCTTTTATATAAAATATATTTTTTTTAATTACAAATTTATCCTTTAAATTGTAAAAATTCATTGCTACTTATTTACTATAAATTTTTTTCTAATTTATTTTTATAAAAAATTAATTTCATTATATAATAAATAATCTAAAATTAATTATAAGTTAAAATTTTGTAATTTTTAAAAATTTTATTATTAATCTTTGATAATTTTATTAATCTTTACTTTTAACAATATTTAATCATAATAAAATATTATAAAATTTTATGAAAAATAATTTTAATTATTATAATTTTTATGATTTATTAAGAAATTTATAAATTTTATTAGTAATAAAATGATTTAATTAGTTCAAAAACATAAATTTTAAAAAAAATCTTTAAAAAATTACTATAATAAATTTTTTAAAACTTAATTTTAAAAAAATTGAATTATTTAAAAACTTCTTAACAAACTTAAAAAAGTTGATAAAATATAAATTAAACTATATTTTTCATATAATTACTATATTACTAAAATTAAAATTTAAGTTTGCAAGCAAATTTGCCTATTAAACAGTTTAAGGGAAAATATTACAAAAAATTTTGTAAAATTATAAACTAATATAAAATTTATAAATTATAGAGAATTAGTAAATAAGCAAAAACGAATTTGTAAGAACAGTTCTTAGGCATAAATTTATATAAAAATGATAATATATTATATATAAAATTAATGAATCTATAAAATAATATAAGTTATTAATATAAGAATTTCAGATATATCAAAAGTATTTACTTAGGCTTAAATCACGGGACAATAGCAATCTCGTGATTAAAGATGCTATCATAATTTAAAATGTAAATGAATACTGTATGTTATACGCATTAAGATATTTATTGGGAGAAATCAACTTTTGCCACGAGTTTATATTTGCATTAAAAGTTACACAGCAAAATTTAGAATAAAGATAATTGGTTAACTCTGATTATAAAATAGAAAAATTCGTCTTGTATAGAGAGCAAATCTACAAAATGGCACCATTACGCTCATTCTTTATTAGTTGTATTTTAATACTTATCATATCAACAAACACATATGCATTTTATTTGCCAGGTGTTGCACCTCGCGATTATAGAGACGGCGATGACGTAGAAGTGCATGTTAATTCCCTCACACCGATGATGGGACCCACAACACAACAACTTAAATCGGTTATTCCTTACGATTATTATTATAGCCCTTTCCATTTTTGCCAGCCAAAAGAATTAAAAAGTCAACCAGAATCATTAGGAAGTATTTTATTTGGTGACCGTATTTTCAGCTCTCCTTATCATGTATGAACTTTTTAATCAATCCTGTTATTCATACGATGCGTTTAATCAAATATACTTTGATTTAAAGCTTCATGTATTTACAATGATTTATTTTTTTCTGAAAAATTAGCTTAAAATGAACGAAAACAAAACGTGTGAATTCCTTTGCAAATCAACGGTTCCCGCTGAAGATGCCAAATTCATTAATCAACGTATACGGGAAAACTATGCAATTAATTGGCTTATTGATGGACTTCCAGCTGCTAGTAAAAAAATGGATACTAAGACGCATAAACCTTTCTACAGCATCGGGTTTGAATTAGGAGATCAATCTACAACCTCACCTGAACCACCTTTACATAACCATTATGATATTATAATTCAATATCATATGCAAGATAAGAAGAAATATCGAGTTGTCGGTGTAATTGTAAAACCAGAGAGGTATTACTACTTTAACATTTTATGTATAATTTTGGGTTATCTCACTTATTTATTAATGTTTATTTCTATTTCTAACAACAGTAAAAAATATACAACACAAGAATCTGCTGAAAATTGTGAAATTACTGAGGAACTTACTTTAAGCGAAACAGAATCTACCGATGTATTTTACACTTACAAAGTAGAATGGACTGTTAGTATTTTTGCATACAAATGTGATTTTTTTTTTTCCTTTAGCTACTTAGTAATCCATTTGTTGTTGATTCATTAGAAATCTGATACCGCATGGGCAACACGATGGGATAATTATTTACATACTTTTGATCCAAGAATTCATTGGTTCAGTTTGGTAAATTCTATTGTTATTGTGTTGTTCTTGACAGGTATGGTTGCTATGATATTACTTCGTGCTTTGCACAAGGATATCTCTCGATACAATCAAATTGAGGCACAGGTATCTTTACTTTATTTTGATTTATTCTCGATTACGTGTCTAATTTTATCATCATATTAACTTATGTTCGCAATTTACAGGAAGATGTTCAAGAAGATTTTGGATGGAAATTGGTTCATGGTGATGTCTTTCGTCCTCCAGCAAATGTCATGTTGTTATCTGTATTATTGGGAAGCGGTGCGCAGTTATTCTTTATGACTGCTGTTACGCTCGGTTTGTATCAAATTTTGATTAAATAGAATTTTATAGTCTTTATTATTATTTATTTATTTATTCGTATAAATTTATTACAGTCTTTGCTGTCCTTGGTTTTCTTTCACCTTCAAATCGTGGTTCTCTTGCTACAGTCATGATCATATTTTATATGCTATTTGGTTCTATAGCTGGATATGTTTCTGCCCGTGTATACAAAATGTTTAATGGCGATTCATGGAAAAAAAATGTTTTTTTAACAGCTTTCTTATTCCCATCGTAAATAATTATTTATTTTGTTTTTAGTGAAAATTTCGAATTTTTATAATTAATCGGAAGCTAACGCCAAGAAAAAAAAAATTTTTTTTTATAATTTACAATACAGACTAATTTTCACCATCTTCGTCGTTCTAAACTTTTTCCTTGTTTCAGCCAAGTCTTCGGGTGCAGTCCCTGCCACCACATTATTAGCTATAATTGGGTTATGGTTTTTAATTTCTGTTCCTTTATGTTTTATCGGTTCGTTCTTTGGATTTAGGAAACCTGTATGTATTAAAATACTTGTTTTATGGGTACAAAAAAAAAAAATACTAGACTTATTTTTTTTTATATTAAACTTAGAAAATTGAACATCCAGTTCGCACAAATCAAATCCCACGACAAATTCCCGATCAAGTCTTTTACCTACGACCAATTCCTTCCATGCTTATGGGAGGTGTACTTCCGTTTGGTGCTATCTTTATTGAATTATATTTCATAATGAACAGTATTTGGGGAAATAAGGTTTACTACTTATTCGGATTTGCCGCATTAGTATTTGTAATTCTTACTATTACATGTTCGGAAGTCACAATCTTATTGTGTTACTTTCATCTTTGTGCAGAGGTTAGCTCAAATAATATCGATTTCCTTTTAAACTTTTATTTCTTCTTTCGTATAAAGTTTCAGGCTTATTTTATTTTCTTATTTGCTCCCTTTTAGGATTATCATTGGTCTTGGAGGGCATTCTTAACATCAGGAGCGTCTGGATTATACATCTTCATCTATTCCATTATGTATTTTGCTACTAGGTTACAAATTACATCTTTAACAAGCACAGTAATATATTTCGGATGGTCAGGAGTTATGAGTTTAATGTTCTTTGTTCTTACAGGTAATCTTTCTTTTCTTTTTTCTTTTTTTTTTTTTTTTTGGCGGATAATCGTAAGTATTTCTAATATTTAATTCATTCATTTCTAGGAACGATTGGTTACTTTGCATGTCTTGCTTTTATCCGCAGGATTTTTATGAGCATCAAAGTTGATTAAAGAAAATGATAACGATTGCAGTTCAAGATGTTACATCAATGAAGTTGTGTTACAAGAGTTACTTACAAGTCACAATATAATCGATTGTGACAGATATGTAATTGTATTTAGATGTTTGTACCTAAATCTTTTTTTGTACTTTTCTTTCTATCTATATTATATGGGAGATTTAATATATTTATATAGTTAACAAGTTATTTTAAAAATTATTGAAACGGTTGACCTAGATTTTAATTATAATATAGTTTGATAATCGGAATTTTTTTTTTTTTTTTTTTTTTTTTTTTGTATTTTTTAACATGAGATAAATAAAAATTTATTAAATAATAAATTTCCTGGGAAACATTGATAAGAAAGGTAACTGATTATTTTGTGTTTAAACATAAACAGCATGGAAATAGATAACTGGGAAAATTCAATCAATATATCGATCTTTACTGTAACAAGCTAATCTTTAACGTAATCAATTATATGGGAATTTTATGCATTAGGGATCAGACCGAGCCCCATGCGAAAAAAAAAAACAAATGGGCTGTCAAAAGCTTTTTTTTTAGGACATGGGCGTTCATCATTTAAATTGGAAATATATCGTAATAATTATTATTTTATTTTTTATCAGGCTGAAAGTTTTAAGTTATCTTTATCTTCTTGTACACCATGATTATGATTTTTTTGCATAAGATTTGATTAGTTTTATCATGATCCTGATTATCTTAGTAAAAAGGCGTAAAATTCGGTTAGTTACACAAATTTATACTTCTTTTAAATTAATTTCATCTCATCAATCTTTTGGCGTCGACTCATTCTTACTTCTAATAAAATATCGTTTTTTTTTCAAGTATAAAGAGGAGCAAATTTCTTTTTTTTTGGAGACCTTCAGTTTTCTTTGAGCTCATGAAGTTTTATAGTTCAACGACAGCTGCAGATTACATAGATATTCAACGTGAGAATTTTTATTTTTTATGCGAGCTTACATTCAGATGTCCGATTTTCTCTCTTTATTTATTAATGAACTTTTTTTTTTTTCAAAACTTATTCAGTCTGGAAATCATCATCCACCGGATTCTAAACTTATCAAACTCAATCATTAAGCCCTATTCCATTATTTAATTAATATAATTGTCAAAACCACACTGTACAGCATATAGAAATCATTTCATTTTTTTTCCTACATTCTTGCATTTATATTTCTTTAAAACATGACTAATTTCTTGACGAAGTCGATTAGCGTTAGTCGCGCTGTTTCCTTGGTTTCTCATGGAATCAAACCTTTCGTCGCAACTCGTGGCCTTGCAACGGTTAAAGATCAGTCGTTCACTCTCAACAAAAAGCCACCTCCACCAATAGCACCCTATGCTCCCGTTTCATTAAAACCAACACCCGCAACCCTCAAACTCAAATCTGGTGAAGTTTATTCTGGCACCTCTTTTGGAGCTAATGTCCATACTTCTGGTGAAGCGGTTTTCACAACATCTCTCGTCGGATATCCCGAGTCGATGACTGACCCTTCATATCGCGGTCAAGTTCTTGTTTTCACCCAACCACTCGTTGGGAATTATGGTGTGCCTGGCATCTTTAAAGATGAATATGGCCTCCTCAAATTCTTCGAGTCAGATAGAATTCATTGTGAAGGAATTGTTGTCGGCGATTATGCATCTCGTTATTCGCACTGGACTGCTGTTGAGTCGTTGGGTGAATGGTGCACCCGTTTTGGAGTTCCCGCTATCTCAGGCGTTGACACTCGGGCAATTGTTCATATTCTGAGGGATCAGGGTTCAACGCTTTCCAAATTATATATCGGGGAAGATCCCGACTTCTCCAAAATTCCTTATTCCGACCCAAATGAACGAAACCTTGTTTCAGAAGTTAGCACGGCAGTTCCCGTTTCTTACAATCCTTTTGGCGACATCAAAATCGGAGTTGTTGGTTTGTTTTTTTTTGGTTTTTTCTTCATTTTTCAATTTTCAAACATCATGATTTAACATTTTTTCACTTGTCCAAAGATTGTGGTGTTAAAAATAATATCTTGCGCGCACTTGTTAAGCGTGGTGCTGCGGTGACTGTTCTCCCTTGGAATTTCAATTTCAACAAGGTTTCGGATCAATTCGACGGCATCTTCATCAGCAACGGTCCTGGAAATCCAACAAAAGTTGTCGAAACGGTTCAAAATGTTCGTCACGCCTTGGCAACCTACAAACGACCAATTTTCGGAATCTGCATGGGAAACCTTGTTTTGGGTCTTGCAGCTGGTTTAGATGTTTATAAACTCCGCTTCGGAAACAGAGGTCACAATGTCCCCGCTTTGAACGTGCTCGACGGAAAATGTCAAATCACTTCCCAAAATCATGGTTCGTCTTTCTTTCCTTTTGAAAAATTTTTGATTTGTTCTCTTCAAAGAGATTTTAAAGTTTCATTTGTTTTTAGGTTATGCATTGCAAGACAACGTGATGCCAAACGGATGGACAAAATATTATGTGAATGCAAACGACGGCTCAAACGAAGGAATTCGCCACAAGACTCTCCCATTTAAGAGTGTCCAATTCCATCCTGAAGCAAAAGGAGGACCTCAGGATACAGAATTTTTGTTTGACGAATTTCTTTCGAAGGTTCGCACTGACAAAATTCAACGCGAAGGGATCAAAACCTTTGTTCCAGAAACTTTCATTTCACAACCGCAAGTTGTTTGAGGAGGCTTTGGTGCAAATTTGAAAAAAAAAAAAAAATTCACCTTATTTTCTGGCTTGATCACTTTTTTGGATGATGGTTTTTCAAACTTGAGATTTGTGATGACATTATAATTTACACGAACATTATTTTTTCACATTTTAAGATTTTATTTTTTTGTAATTAATTTTTCAAAACATTTTTCCTTTTTCTTTATTATTTCGCCAAAAAAAAAAAATAAAATAAAAAAAATTAAAAAGTATTTTGTATTTGATTTCAATAAAAAGTTTTATTTTTCATTTCATTATAATAAAAAATATATATAATAACTTAAAAAGTAATGTCTGGATGTTAATTTTAAAAAAAATCTTAAAATTATTTGTTTCGCTCAATTTCCAAATCAGGAGGAATATTCTTACTCTTGAGATTGCATCCGAATCACAATACAATCTTCATCAGTTCCATAAGACCTTCTTGCAAGCTCAAAATCGTTCATGGAAACCATGCAATACCGTTCTGTAATTCCAGGATCACGATATATGAGACAATCAGTATTTGGGTCAAAGCCAATGAGAACAATAAAGTGTCCTGTTTACCAAATAATCCAAGAAATTATAAAAAGAAATCTTTTGATAAATAACCGACAAATATGAAACTTTTAATAGAAATATTTACCAGCATAATTACATCCTCTTAATTTATCCAAGATATAATCAAAACTATTGCATAAAGAAAAGCAGCATAATTGCTTAGTCTTGCCGCAGTTATTATCATATTAGTAACATATTTACGAAATTGAATCTTGAACACGAAATCATAAAGACGTACCTGGCATAATTGACATTTTAAAAGACGAGAATTTACTAAAGCTATTATGGCAAATTTAGAATTAAATAAAAATCGTTTGAAATCTTCAAGAGGAAGCACCCTATTAAATGAAAAAAGGGATCATATACGATGATTTATTTTTTATATGTGTATAAATATTGGGGCTTTATCTTTTATAATAGTAAAGTTTCTAAACGCACATCTGTACAACATTAACGTTGTTATTCTTTGCTTTTGGGAATAGTCTATTAACCCGACGTTCATCTTCATCAAATGCTTAATGAAAAAGGAAAGAAAATTATGAATAAATGGTATAAAAAGAATCAGTTGTACGTGCGTATTGATTCAATTTTACTTGATCTATAAAACTCGTTGTCTCTGTATTGAGTTCTGACTCCTGCATACGAGGTATAATATGTAAAGTCAAGGTCAGGTACGTAATATCGAAATAAGAACGCCTAATAGGAAATAATGGAAAGAAAGTTTTAGTTTTGAATTTCATATTGAAATTCAAAAGATTTGAAAATCCTTGAGCAAATATTCAAACTAATATCGAAAATGATTTCGAATATCGAAACTCTTCTTTTCAGAGGGTTTCTTTTTTTTATTTTATAATGTGCGGAGGGATCTTTCGAAGGATGGTTCTTTTTTCGATAATTTCCGATCTTCGAAATCATTTTCGATCTTCAAACTTTGATGAATATTTACTTTTATTTATTTGTAAACAAATATTCGAGTAACCTAATTTTGCAAAACTTTCTCCAAATATTAAACTTACCAGGTCTATTGTCCAAATACTAGAGACTGCAACTTGTTTATTGAGTTCCCGTAAATCTACTTCAACAAAACCTAAACCTCGTAAAACCATACAAACACAAGCAATTCCGCAATCAAAGGAGTCTTGCTGTAATACGTGAGGAACTCTAAATTTGGAGCTGCTTACTTGAACAATTGAATTGTCCATGTAGTTCCCATTTGGCAAAAGGGTATTTATGGAATTTTAAAGGTATATACCGTGTTATCGTTTCTGGAAAAAATAAATAAAAAAAAACTCATTGCCATTGTAGTGAAAATTCGAGTTGTCATACTAATACTATCTATCTATAGAATATACCATATCTAAATTTAGTAATGATCATATAAATATGATGTCAATATTGTGTTGTTTTATATTCTAAAATACAAGTATTTTATACTTCCGAAAATAAGCATCTCAGAAACTAAGCATCATCACATTTTATACGGAAAGTTTGGAAAATCAGGCTCTGGCGTTTTAGTTTTTGATATTATTAGATTAAAATGTAATAAGATCTTAATTTTAGTCAAAAAAAATTCCAGAATCTGATTTTTATAAACTTCCTATATACAGTATATACTAAAAATAAGCATATTCCAAAAATTGAATAATTTTCTTATTTAAATATTATAAATATTTAAATAAAGATTAATATTAATTTTATTAAATTTATTAAAAAATAAAAAATTATTATTTTATCTATTCATTTATACTAATATTTCAATAATTATAGCTTTTGTTGCTGATTTACATGTGTTCAATAAACAGTTATAGTAAATTGTGGTATTATGTTCAATAATAAAAAAAAAGTCTAGAAATCTCTTTTTTTTTACAATAAAAAGATGTCAAAATCCCATATTACTTTAGGAAAATTTATTGCAACTGGCAGTATTGTATCAGAACTTCAAATAGAGTTAGTTATAATTATGCAGCATTATTATTTTATAAGTTCAGAAGGGTATAATCAGTTTCTTATCAACATATTCATAAAGACTTTTTTTTAATTACAATTTATCAAAACAGTTAAATTATTACTGAATACAAAGATATTTCACCAAATGCTATTTGAAAAAAAACTGAAGTTTTGACATTTATCTTAAACAATATTTTATTTAATATAAATCATTCCATAATTTTAGATAGAATGAATCAAACACATTAAAAACTTTGTTTGCATCAGTTGTCTAATAAATGCATGTCTTCAGATTGAAATAATGAGATAATTATGGAAAATCTATACGAGTTGTATTTAAAAAGAAATATTAGAAGATCAGTTAAATAGTGTCAAGTATTTCAAAATTGATTACAACAAAAAAGTAATATTATTGAAATATATGCTCATTTCAGTAAAATATATGATGTAGATTATAAATTTCAGAAAAAAAATTGCAAGCATGACATATAATGCTTTATGCTATAGGAAGTACAAATATTACTCTATATAATAAAGATGTTTTTTGTATAAGTATAAATACATATTTAGTGTTATTGATATTAAAAAATTGTAAATTAATATCATAAATTTATAGAATGAATTTTGGACAAATGCATCTAAATCTGAAAAAGACTGTGAAATAATTGCCAAATTATATGTAAAAAGACTTTTGAATGTGACTTCATCAACTTGCACTTTTTAGAATTGCTTTCGTAATAGTTATAATGCAAATCCTAAAGGAATAGATAGCAAAACATATACAGTCAACTCTTGTTATAACGAACTCTATGTTCTAGACCTCAACTTCACTATAAGGCTATAGTGAAGATTTTAAGAGATTTGATTGGCCAATTCGCTATAATAAGAGTATTTTTATTATATTTATTCAAAAAATTTGTTATATCAAGAGTTTGTTATATCAAGAGTTGACTGTATATTATCAATAATTGCAGAAAAATTTACCTATAGGAAATAATTAAGAAATTAGAGATAATGTAAGATTTTTGATAAATTATATAAATATGTATATAATAATTTTATTAATCATTATTTATCATTAGATTTTACCTAATTCAGTTAATGCAGTACAAAAATATTTCAGAATTAATAGATCTAAATATTCTGCATTGAAAAAACTAGTAATTAATTGTTCAAAAATACCTGAAGTTAAAGAAAAAGAATTTCAACTATTTTTTGCAGATAAAGTAAATGTAAATATGAGTTCTTACAAAATCAATGCAAAAATATAATTATTAGTATTTTACTTAAAAGATCAAAAAAGTGCACTTTGAGAAAAATTTTCTACTACTTATCCTGATAGAATAAAGTATATTTCTTTTTATGTCATAATTATAAAACAGCTGTTTTAAATATAGAGAAGATTTGGAAGAATTATGCATAACATGCAATAATTATGAATATCAAACTTTTGAAAATTTGATTGAATTAGTAACTATAAATTTTTCTAATAAAATTCAAAGAATCAGTATTAGTTGAATTTTTATTATCTCTTTTATTTAATTAAATTATATTTATCAGCATAATTTCTTTTATAAGATCAGTTAATTTATGAATTAGAATGTTTAGGCTGTTATTTAAAGTGAAATTATAAAAGAGAGTGAATTCTTTGGAAATTGAGATTAGACTTTTCATACAACTCTAATGTTTTAAAAAAACAAAAATAATTATAAAGAATTAGATATTTAAGCTTATAATTATTAAAGTTCTGATACTAAGCAAGTTGCTTAGTTTACAACATCATGCTTTAAATCAGTATTTATAACAATAGATCCAAAACCTCTTTAAGTTAAGATCATTTCAGATAATAGAGGTTATTATCATAATTTAGAACTAATGATAATTATTAATCACTGGTATAATTGATATAATATAGAAGTATGTAGATGGATTTTTCTTGAGTTAGAAGAAGTCAAAATAACTGTTGATTCTTATTATATAACGATAAATAAATATTTAGTTTTTTTTTAATATTTTTTCTAATTTTAAATTAAATAATTATAGATTGCATATGTTATCAAAAGATATATTAAGATCAGATGTAATTTTACTGAAGAAGAAAATATTAAAATAGCACTTCAATGTTTAAGTAGAATATTGATATCATATATAGAACCAAATTAGATTATAAAAGCATCAGCAGATTAAACAAATTTAAAGTAAATACAGTTAATTCTTAATATAGCGAACTCTTGATATAACGAATTTTTTGAACAAAAATAATAAAAATACTCTTGTTATAGTGAATTGACCAATCAAATCTTTTAAAATCTTCACTATAGCCTTATAGCAAAGTTGAGATTTAGAACATAGAGTTCGTTATAACAAGAGTTAACTGTATATATATTTTTATTAAAACAGCAGATTCATAGAATATAAAAAAATAGAACAAACTGGATCAATAGTGTAAATTTATTTTATAAAAAAAGGTTTACTAGTAAATAATA